ACCATAAATGATTGTGGTTTTTAACAAGAAAAAAATATCACTTTTTACCAAAAATGACAAAAATATTCATCAAAATTAGAGAATTGAAGAATCATCATGAAATGAACAAATTTGAGAGTGGTCCATATGTAGTATCTATATATATGTAATATCAAAGCAATTGGACTTGTCGTTTTTAACAAGAAGTCGAAAATATCACTTTTTACCACAAATGACAAAAATATTCACCAAAATTAGAGAATTGAAGATATGATCATGAAATGAACAAATCTGAGAGAGGTCTACCCAAGGTACATATACACCAAGTATCAAAGCATTCAGACTTGTAGTTTTCAAGAAGAAGTCGACAATGTAAAGCATTGACACAGACGACGGACACCAGACGACGACGGACAATCACTCATATGATAAGCTCCGCTCAACAAAGTCGACAGAAATATTCTAATGAACAAATATTATAATAGTTTATACGCATATTGCTATGATTAATTCTAATCATGCCTAGTATAAAATTAAAAGGAAAACACTCCAAAGAAAGTGAAGTGATCACCATCGAATTATTATAACCTGGGAAGTTTAATAGAAAAGTTTATACCATTAAGTTTATTTATCAGCAGATTTGTCTATTCAAACCACTCTTACTTTGCCTGAAGAATCTCGGTACTTCAGCACTGCCGGGTATGCGATGAACGGACAACAGCCGGGTTTCTCCAACTTTAACTGTTGCATTTTCGGTATTAGCTTCTGTCTAGCCTTCCGGGTTTCCTCTGAAAAATCCTGAGAAATGTAAATATCGTTGCCTTCAAATGGTTTCCCCTTCAGGCATGCAGTGCAGCATTTCTACAAACCATTTCTTTCATCTTGTACCGGAGAAATGCAATGTATATGGGACGTGGCTTCTTGTTATTGGAGGGCAAATATGGTGGATTTCTGTGAGCATGCTCAATTTCAACTGGGACGTCAAGCTTCATGTGTTGTTTAATAAAACTTGTAATAAACTTATGGCAATCACCACGTTCCGATCTTTCAGGAATATTATAGAAAATCAAATTATTTCTACGGCTTCTAACCTCATTTTGTACTTGCCGTGCGGTAATTGCTTCAGTGGTGGACACATCTGCTTTTTTTTTCAATGCTTTCCCGAAGATTCCTAACTTCATTGTCAGTCATAACAATAGATTCGCCAAGTTCTGCTTGTTTTTGTTTTATACACAACACTACTTTTTCTAATTCTTCAATTCTCGATAGTTTCACATCCATTTTATCCAATCTTGTTAATATCAAATCAAGTTTATCAGAAACACTAAGTAACATACCACCATCCATTTCAGTTTCAGACTCAACTCGCCTTGCTTTACACCTGTCGGCTTCCAATGGGCTCAAAACTTCCGATGAACTTTTTACGCCAGGTTTTCGCTCACTGCACTCCGAACTTTTGGAATCCATTCTGCAACTTGTCACGAATAACCACACAGGAGACTTTGAACAAAGTTTCTAGTCATAAATAACGTACAGTTTACGAAACCAGCGTGCTGCTGTTTTTATATTTCAATAATATTTTGACTAAAACATTCCTAAATTTTCTCTTTTCAAGGTTCTCTTTGTGTGTACATTTTGTTTGACATAATGCCCCCCCCCCAAAAAACACATAAAAATATTTCTGTGATTATATGTTTAAACGTTGTCATGATCTATTTATTATTGTCATATCTTTTCTTCAAATATAGAAATTAAATTTAAGAAAGTTATGTCGGTTTTGATATAGTGTTTTCCAACTACTTGATATAGTGTTTCTCAATTATTTGCCAGACTTACATTCACAGTGTTCGCTAGATTCATATAATGCTCCAGTCAATGTCAACCCCGACCCCTCCCACCTCGGGCGATACGGGACAAATGTGGGGCATTAGACAGGGTTTATCGCCAAACTGTGCCCGTGGAGGTGGGGTAATAGCCGTGTTTCGTGTCCCGTCATCACTAGCATCGCTAGTACTCTGCTGATAGCAAGCATGGCGGACAGTGGCGATTTGTGGAAGAAATGTGGGGGTTTGTTTTGGTTGGGGATTTGCCTATCCATCTTGCCCCAGGAGGTGGGGCATTTCGCAAATTTTACAACAATAATTTCCAAATCCCCCACTAAACCCCGATCTAGATGCAAACTTTAAACGCATTTCGCGCGTAATAACCACTGTGCGAGTCCGAGCGATACAAGCTTCTGCCGTTCTCTACTCCCGGGCCACTATTGTAACCAAACGGGATTTAAAAATCAGGTATTCTATTTCACAATATTATTTCGCTATTGAGCCGCGTATCAAACGCCCAGTGTTACACCGTCAAGGCCAAGACCAAAAAATACACTACCTACGGTACAAGAAACCAAGATGTGCACGCAAGTTGAGGCTTGAAGATGAGTATTTACCGATGTTGATGAAACCATGGAGGTAAAATAGACTAAATACAGCGGATCGGTTTGGAATATTGCCAGGCAATGTTTTGATTTTACAATTCTAAATACGACCGTCTTTTCCCTCGTTAATATAATAGACACATCTCCAAAAGTCACAATGCATAACCTTCCAGGAGATAACATGGTCACATGAACAGTATACTTCATAGCACAATACCTTGCAAATTCCCGAAATCATCCAAACCTGTATCTTTAATCGCTGGCGACTCATCTGCTTCCGCCATCTTTAATGAAGTCGCGCAGGCTCAGAGTTCTCGTAGTCCCCGAGAGCTCCCTGAAATGGGTTAAGATTGCAGCCAGATGGATTGCAGCGTGAAGTCAGCCTTATAAATCATAGGAGTGGCGGCTGATTTGCGGTATTTCAAAGATTTCTGCTTTAATACAGTCAATGGCATAAACATGGGGATGTTATAAAAATGTTCTATATGATTTTTATGGAATTTTATAGAATAGACAGTGTTAGCATTTCTATAGAATTTTTGTGGGTTTATCTACACAATTTGAAAATAAAGAAGTACTGGGTATTTGTAGTCCTTTTGTGATTTCCATTTGAATATTTCATCATTCATTTGATAAAAATGTGTATTTTATGTCACAGAACTTATGTACACTTTTTGTATATTTATATACACTTTTGGAAAAGTGATTGAACAGAAAGATAAACTTACTGAATGTTTGAACCATGAACATTTTGTTATTCTTTTTAAATTGTTGTGCCAGGTGACAGTTCAGATTTGTTAATGTCACTGTTGTCGCTCCTGACTTTATTTTATTTTTTGTGTGTGTGCAAATTGAAAGTCACATATCTGTATAGTTCAATTTGCCACGGAAAACAATATTCCATGTTTGGGACTACATGACAGGGCTGTGATGATCATCTTCCTATCATAATGACAATTTATGCACTACCCTGGCATCCCGCAGGCCAGGTCAAATGCAAGCACCTGCAGACCAATCTGACCCCTAAAGTCACATCTGTTAGTAAGTGAATCATGGCCAGTAGATAAAAGTAGCCTTCCAATGAGTTTGAGGCACACTCACTCAGGGTAGTGGTCAACCCCTTTTATATGTTCAACTCAAAGTAGAATTTGAACGTGGGTTTACCTACATTTCTTCTACCGGGGGTATTAGCAGAGTGCATTGACTCCTGATTGTTTTCATTTTATACTACTGTAGAATACTTTATTTTCACTTGGAATTTATTTTCGCTGAAAGGATGATTCCGTGAAAATAAAATCCAGCGAATATACTTTTTTTCCTATATTTCACATTAAACTCATCAAAAATCAGTGAAAATAAATTCCATACAAAACGCCCAAAAAGTCTTTTCAGCGAAAATGAAAATTAATTCCAGCGAAAATAAAGTATTCCACAGTATTTTAGGAGGGAGGTCGTCACCTTTCACAATTTATACCTTGATCTTTTACAAAATTAAAGTTTACAATTTCACTACAAAAAACAAAAATTATTCCAAGTAGTTGAAGTACATAGGTTTTATTGACAAAACAAACATTCCAAGTACATGGTTTTATTGACAAAAACAAAATACTTATAAGAGAATTATATAAGAGAATGCATCAATGTATTACTGTGGAATACTTTATTTTCGCTGAAGGAATGATTCTGTGGAAATAAAATCCAGCCAATATACCTGTTTTCATATATTTTACATTAAACTTGTCAAAAATCAGTGAAAATAAATTCCATACAAAACACCAAAAAATCTATTCAGCGAAAATTAAATCCAGCTAAAATAAAGAATTTTACAATATTCAACAAGTGGCAAAATGGTTTTCAAAAGCATCTCAGTAGACCTAGCATAGCAAGTCTGTGTAATTAGCGATTCCTTAAAGTTACTACAGAGGAGAAAAGAATATGGGAAAATCTAGCCCACACAAAGCAATTTTTGACCATGGACTTTTTAACTTTCATGTGTAAGTCTATGCGTTTTTGCATATGCTGAGGACAGTGTATTGAAACCTGTAGGTGAAACACAAACTGGTAATTTAGTTTAGTCTGTAGTAACATTGTGCATTCAAATTTTAGAATAAGGACACTGATATTTGTTTACATCGCTTAGAAAAGTTGTGGTCTGAAATCAACAATAACATGTTGTTTAGTTGCTCGCTGTACAATATCCAGTACCTGGTAGCCCTGTGGTCGAGAATAGTGGGGTAATCCCCAGAAACTGACATGAATCACACATCCTAGACGAGACAAACACTAAAATACCCTAAAGATTTATTTGATAGATTGTATTAAAATTAATTTATCATACTTTAAAATGAGCAGTAGCATTATGTAAAATTGGATCACAATTCAAACGGGCAACCAGCAAATTGGATCTAAATCTAAACTTGATAACCATTTCAGAAGACAACGAATGTTTTTCACAAAAAAGGTTTATTAACGTTCATAAATTTCAGCAAGAGATAATAACAGCAATTTTCCTGAAAATGTATACTAGTACTATATTTGCTGTTAGTACTATTAGTAGTGCTCCAGTGTTGTGTCAAAATAAGTCTAATGATTAAGCATACAATAAATGTATTTTTTTGGTTTATGTGCATGTGTAATAAAGAAAATACTGTATGTTTTAAAATTTCTACAAATTAAAAACAATTCTCTAGGATTTGTACATTGATTTCTTTCAACAATAATTTTATTGACACAATATTTTAGATGCTATTAAATTCCTAAGGAGTCTGTTCAGTGTTGTATTTAGTTTTCAAAGGTACATGCATCTTTTTCAATACTAGATCAGAATGCTAAAATTAGCTCAAAATCTTGTGCAACTGTTTAGATAATTTAAAGAGGTACTAACATTCAGTCATTCAATCTTTGACTATGCTCTCCCTGTGAAGATCAACAAGTAAAAATTACATTATGAGGTAAGGTCAAACCACTGTTAGCCATCACCCATAAAGACCACCTCTGCCTATAGTGAACACTTTTAAGCAGTCCCAAGGCATAACACGTATGAGCAACCTGTGTATACAGACCACCTTATCTGATGTGACCACAACCCTCTAAGCGATATTTTTGCAGCTATGCCTGTGTAGTAACAAAATAATAATTAGCATTCTGTTTATAAACAATTTTACTAATTTAAATTATTCAAACCAATGTGTTGCAAAGGTGCCATCTCATTCTGGGCAAATATGTTAAATGTCTGTTTTGGCATAATCTAACCATCATGAAGACCACATGTGTATAAGCATATTTTAATGAAGTCTTTTAGGTGGTCGCTATACACATGTATGACTATATATCGGTATGTAATAACACTCAAATAATCCAGTGAGTTCACAGTTTGAGAAATGTTATCACAAACATAAGTAATTATCCTTATAGGTAACATACAAATTTCTTTAGTTTATGAAAGACAAGGCCAGGTGATGGGAATTGCCTTAGCTACCTAAGAATTGTTTAGTGAAATTACGTCACCTGTGCACAGGCAGGAATTGAGTTCTATGCGATGATAACAACACATGCTAAAAATGCAAAGGCTGATTTGTAAACAATTGTGAAGACTTCCCCTTTGAAGTTTGAAATACAGTTCAAAGAAATCACTACTAAAGCAAAACATCAAATTATTCAATTTGTAGAAAATACATTTCTTTAAAATATTCATTTTCAGAAGAGACAAAACATCTCCATGCATTGGTGACATTTACCAAAGTTTTACAAACCAATTATGCTAGAACAAAGCACATATGAATGTGTGGATAATTACAGGCAGTGCATTTTGTTTGAAGCTGTACTGACCATACTCAATGTATTATCTGTCAATGATTAATTCAAAACATTTTAAACTATATTCATATCAATCACCAATGATTACCTCGAAAGACGCAGACTCATACATGTAACTAATGCTCCAGTCAATGTCAAACCGCACCCTACCTCGGGGTTCAGTGGGTGGAATTGGAAATTTTTGTTGTAAAATTTGCCAAATTCCCCACCTCCTGGGGCAAGAAGGATAAGCAAATCCCCACCCAAAACAAACCCCTTACATTTCCCCCACTGATTGCCATGCATGCTATCAGCAGAGTACTCAATGAACGTATACGCATGCGCAGCTAGCGATGACGGGACACGAAACACAGCTATTACCCCACCTCCACGGGCACAGTTTGGCGGTAAACCCAGTCTAATGCCCCACATTTGTCCCGTATTGCTCGAGGTGGGAGGGGTCGGGGTAGACATTGACTGGAGCATAATAAAAACTGCTTCTTCTGATTTTAAGGGTCTTCCAGAAAAAATATTTTATAAATTTCACAAAAGTTCATAGCTTTATTGAGAGCACAGTAAGGAAGCAACACATTGAAAACTGTTTATTATATCAAACTTATTTTTTATCAGTGGTAAACATACTCTTTATGATGTCCTTCGCTTCTACGGGTTGTGATGTCAACGTGGCTAACATATTAGTTTGATTTTCTATAACAAGTTCAGCATAAGATACACATTTATCAACTTGTTTCATGGTCTTGTGTATTGTATCAACTTGAAATGGCAATTTGTGAGTGGCATTGTCTACCCACAATGCCATTCTGTTCAGATCTGGTATACCATTCAGTAGTGTACTGTGTTCTCCAGGGAGAGATTTCATTGCTGGCGCAGTTGCCGTCACTTCCGACATTTGACTCTTTGTCCTATCCGATATTTCTGTATATATTGTCAATAAATCTTCCCATTTTTCGCTTTCACTGTTCAGCTGTTGCATATATTCCGTACAAGTAGATATATCACTTTTCATTTGCGTGTTGGACGGGTTGGGTGTTGACCTGGAATGACCACATACCTTTTGCACGGTCCCGTCTTCTCGGAATCTTTCAATAGTTTTAGCCAATTCGGTGGGAGCCTCCTTCTTTAAAGCAGTCAGATCTACCACGGGCAATTCCTGCTCCAATTTTACGAATATGTCACAAGCTGCGATATTATGTAAAGCCAAAAGTCGATCTTCTGCTGGGAGATCATTCGGAATACGTTTGTAAATGTCAACATCGGCAGCCGGAAGCGATCTTCGATTTTTTCCCCTTACAAAACTCGATCTTCGCTGCTTTTTCTTTTTCTTATCTGATACTCCATCACTAACTCTTCTTTTCTTTCTGTCCGGTGACGATACACATGCAGCTTCTAAGTTGGCAAGCCGTGGAGATCTCCGCTGTCTTTTCTTGTTACTTTCCGTCTGAAGACCAGTATCCGCCATTTTGATTTCTCCCGCCAGTCGCTTGTGGTCGCGTTGTTGGGCTGTCAGACTTGGCCGATTAATAAGGTCAACTGTTTATTGTGCAAAGTTGCCAACTGGCACTTGGATAACACTCAGCAAAAATACCCAGCATGCCAAGAAAGAAAAAAAAACATTATTGTAGCGGGAACGGTGTCATAACATTTCTGACATCTGTTATTTCATTCATAACCTTTATTTATTATATACTGATAAAAATCCTAGATAGAGAAGAACACATTTGAATGCACGTCACGTGACAAGCTAATAGCCGGACCTTGTCAAAAATGTCTAAACCCGCGACATTTTTTTAATTAGCTTTAGTTATTTATCTAAATTGTTCCGTTCGTTTGTAAAAAAAAAATATGTTTCCCATTTCCCTACCTTAAAAGTCACAAATATATCGCAGCCAAAATCCAAAAGACAACTACCGACGACGACGACTACCGCCCTTTAACATTCACTCTCAATGAAATTGTTCAGTTTTGTCGCTTCTTTGGTGACAGTCCAGGTGTGCATTTGACGGAATTTTGTTTTGACTATCGCGACTATTGAAAAAAACAAGATACCGATCTAGTCAGTTGTATGATGTACCGGAATCACACAATGTTTCATCCCTCATATTTGTAAACGATCCACCCCTTAAATGTTGCTGCTGAGATGATCTAGGTTATAAGGTCGCTTATTGCCGGGTGTAACTAATTTTTAGTTTCCGAGTCCTTTCTGACTATAACGTAGCCTCTAAACATCGCGTACGGCACATTTATTGTAAACACACGGATGGCACAAATGCAGGTAGTGTTTTTCCATATAAACTTAGTTCATATTTATAATTGTGTGCACGCGATATATAGGGACTGAATGTCACCCACTTCACGCACCGCAATGACACAGGATACCTTGTGGATTTAACTATATTTATCCAACACAGTCAAGCGTACACGGGATCTTTCAAGCTGGTGTCACAAATTGCTTATATTATGCATAAACCATCTAGTAGGTCACCGTTCAATGTGACATCTATACGTGTTTTGAAATATAGGGTAAATATCTATCTACCCTGCGATATGCGCTTCCATGGTATTCTCTCCAGCGTTGAAACTGTCAGAAATTGTAATATATATATTCACATAATATTAATTAATTTCCAGTTGATTTGATTTTCGTTTTCCATTTTTCATTCAACTAGAATAAATAATGTATAATGAAACTCTGAAGTCTTATAAATCATTATTATACGGAGAGCTTTAGGACCACTTCAACATGTCAGGATAGGACAAAGAAATTGTTTTAGAGTCAGAGAGTTATGAATAATTGGAACTCTCCAACATGTATTCAGGGTAGAACAAAGGGGCCATTTTAGAGTCCAAATGTCATGAATAATTATAGCTAATGGAAAACAAAACAAAGACAGCTAATTGAAAACAGGGACATGTACATTCTAGTCACGGCAGATCAGAAATAACAAAAGGGTGACAATGTTTTTGACAACCACTGTACGTGAACAGAGATATAGCCGAAATATAACAAATAACCGAAATAGGGAAATATAGCATCATTTTTATGTATGAGAACACACAAATGATTTCTTTGCGTGTTTTTGCTTTGTAACATAACGCTGTTTTTGCATTTTATGACATTGATCGTCAACGAGATTTTAACTTTTATTGTAAATATCACATGAAATAAATAAGTGGAAATATAACATAATAGTTTATTTTATTTCAAAAATGGACAAATGTTTCACAGAAAATGACAACTTACATAACTGCGCTCACTCAGTTTTTCTCCCACAATTTCTCATTATGGATTGATATTATCTTTTAATTCTGTATCTGGAGATATATTTATACTGTTTCCATTTGCGAGCGATCAGTTGTAGAGTTGAACGAAATTCCACATACATAAACAAAGCAAACACATAGTAAAATAAATAAACTGTATTTATCCAGCACATAATGACTTTGGTGTTGTAAATAATATATTGTATGTATTTACATTAAATACAGTAGTTATGCTGTCCTCATTACGGAGATAATGGTAGATGTCACGTGACCAGCTCTTTATTTTAACCGCATCAACCCATGGGACACACGCACCCTTGCATGTCTGCTTAAAACATTAATAAATTAGTTTTCACACGAGTTGTCATTGAAACGCACATGCTTTCTAAATTAGTCATGTAACGTACCCGGTTATCCATCCATACATCTCATGTTTAAAGGCAATATTTCAGATTCGAACTACTATTGAAACACAAACACCATTGCAATCATATAATTGATTGATGGTTCGTTTTAAAAATGCTTTGTGTTTAAATTATTAATTCTGTAAATAAAGTATATATTTCTGCGAAGTTGTAATGTAATTATTTCAGAACAGCGAGCTTTTTACGTACTACGCGTATCTTACTTTTGACTGCAGCTAAGGATATTGACGTACATCCGGTGCAGAACGGAAGAAGAAACATTGTCAACAACAAAATGTCAACTATAAGAAATCTTCTAGTGAGTACCTGAACAACGACTGCCAACACTGCACTTGACAATGAGTATCCCCATAAATGTTTAAAACTGGAAACGAACGGATTTGAAATACGAAATGTCTCCTCGACCGCGCGTTGTGGTACCCATTTTGTGTTATTCGATATGAGGGAGTAAAACGCCCTCGCGATTCTAACGCACCCCACCACACATTCTGGCGTGAATTGCAAGAATGAAGCCAATACTTCAATAAATACTAGATGCACGTTTCGCCGATTTATGATTGCAAATTTAGGGAAAATCATGACGATAAATAAGATAATTGATAATGAGAGGCTTGGATAATATAGATTGGCCCAACAATGTAAAATAGCGTACAGCAGTAAAAGAGGTTTCATAAACATCATTCGGAGAGCAGAATGGGCGATATAAGCACTGGCAACGTCAAATTTACTAGGTGTTCTCATTTTAGTTTCAACAAAACTCTTCCCTTTAAGAATCCTTTGAAGGAACCTCATTGGTTTTCCGAATATATTTTTCCAGAAATACATGGCCAGTATAATCTCGCCCTTGTTCCAACGTCGTTCCCGAATGTCCCATGTGATGTAGTTAAAGCAAGGAGCTTCTAGCAGCGTAACTGAAAGAGCGTAGTATGGTTTCAGAATTGCGGCTTCAAACGTATCATGACTGAGTACATCAATAGGTACAAGTTCCTTTAAGTCATCAGGGGTTCCAATGACATGATTCAGATAAATATCATTCTTAATCAGCGCTTTTCCGAAAAAGCCACATTGTCCCAAAAGAGAACCAACTGCCTCAGAAAACGGTGTTGCCAGGCGTTGACGTAAACTTTCTATATGCATAAATAACGTGTCGTCCTCTTTGACGTGCATTGTTATTGATGGTTGAATAATTCCGCGGTCTGGATTGCCCGCTGCTATCGCCATCAATTCGTACGCCGTTGTAGGAGGGACCTCCGTATCGCCGTCCAAAACGAGTGTATAATTAAAATTCCTGCCACAGATATTGTTTACATCATCTGAGCTATGGAAGAGCGGTTCACCGGGACAACGAGCCAACTTACCATAATATTCATTATCAGTGTACGAGTAGGCCGTTTTAATTCCGCTACTCAAGATAATCAAATCCTGGTATTGTCCACACTTGCGAAGAACTTTGCTAACTCGATGTAGCAACATAAACTCTCTTATTAGATGCAGACAAATTTGATATATGTTCCTCTGCAAATACTCTTTAGAAAACCGCTTCCAATAAAAATGCAACCGAAACATGTCAATGCGATTTTCAGCTCCCTGGAGGTACCTGATGTGTTCTCGGAGTAACTGTTTTCGTATCTTTAGTCTGTAATGTTTCAGAAGATTCTTTTCATGACGTATGAGCTTTGGGTCGGACGTAGCACTAATAAGAACGATGGAAATGTTTTCACTGAGGTTGCCCATGTATGCCTTGTACATTTGATGAAATGTTTCATTGATATCGGATTTACTGACAGCCAGAAGGTTGTATGCCATAAGAAGTGTCAAATTTGAGAAATTGGCGACTTTGTCGCGTTGGTCGCTACCCCGATAGAATATTGCAACTACAGTCTGCACCACCAATTCAAGTACACTTCCCTGCACAATTCCAAGTAGAATACAAAGTATGATTCCATCAGGTAGCGATGTCCTTTCCCAGTCCACGTTTAATATATTTAGGATCAACGCAACGACAGAAAGTGCTGCCCAAGTACTAAAGTAAAGTAAAAGTTTACTCTGGTGGTCCATTTTACAAACCAACCTGCTGTCGCACCGCATTGACAAGACAGCTATCTTGTTTCAGTGACGTACCATCAGTGTGGCGTGTACTAATCAATGATAACGTGACAGCAATGACTGTCATGACGTGTACACCAGGAAATTGTCTCGTTAACTCAAAATAGATAGTATAATATACAACCTAACTCCAAAGTTACACAAAGAATAAACTGACTTACAACTGAACAGTTTAGATAATAATAATTTAATAATAATAACTACAAGCTAACTAACTATAAGCTAAAAAAAATTATACTTTTAAAAAAAGAATATGAATAAAAAAATAAAGACACTTTGCAACCAATGGTGAATACAGAATATAGAATGGACACAAATTGTAACCTAATACACTGATAGTTGTTGTGTTTTGTTTCATAGCTGTTTTTTAAGACGACAGCTAAGGCTGGTGCCAGTGTATGGTTTTCCAATATTAATATGAATTTATTCTGACTGTTTTCCTTTTCAAAATTTGGAACTTTATTTTCTGCGTTTAGGAATAATTTGTCCCTATGATGACTGTTAGCTGGACATTTCATTACAAAATGTTGCTCATCCCCAATTATATTTTGGCTGCACATGTCACATGTTCTTTTATCCAGAGGCACATTACTATGTCTGCCTTCCTCAATTTTAAGGTCATGGTTGCTTGTCCTGAATTTTGCCATTAACCTTCTAGAACCATGGTTTTGCACATTAATGCAGTAATTTTTAATTTTTAAATCTTGTTTAAAAAGTCTGTATGTTCTTAGTTTGTTTTTAGCCAAGGTTTGTTTTCTATATTCATAATGCATGTCTAAAATCCATTGGTTCTCAAATGATTTGTTTACGAATAAAGTCTAATTTTTTTCTTATTTATTATTTCACTTGAGTTTACAATGGTAACAACATCAATATATGTTGTCATTGAGACGCAAACACCATGAGGACAAGAAACTATATTTTTATATAATGGCCGGCGTGCATCACAGAGGTAAACAGTATAACAAAGGCTTGCTCTAAGGAAAACACGGAAATGATGGTGGACATTTTCAAATTCGCAGTATGATTGTTCAGTTTCGTTAAACACTATGCATGATTGAAATTGTCGAATTTATGAATGATTTTTTTATGATGTTGAGTTATATTTTTGCGTCATTTCTACTTATTCTACATTTTGGAATACTATTTGATAAGTTTGTGAGGTCCTTTATGCTGGTAAATTAGTAAACATTTCGCAATAGACGCAGTATTTGCGACACAGCGTTTTAAGGTTTGGTTTTTAAGAAGTTTTATAAGTACAGAGTATTCTAAGATATTTTCAGTTATCAATTCTTCTTTTTTTCGAGTTTAAATATATTGATTGGAAAGGCAAATTAATAACGTTTTCAACTTGTCGGAAATAGAATTAGGGCGGCCAAGTACGTATTACTTCATGTCACAATCATTTCATCATGTTCGATGGGATTATCTATTTCATAAATATCAGTCATATAGGACGAGTGTCATGGTGGATGTGTTAAGAGTGATGCTGTTATAATATTGTATTTACCGTTCCGCAATGTGAGAGAAAAGGCAGTTGCTATTTTTGACGATGTTTGGATCTATGAGTATGAATATGAGGTTATTAGGAGAATACCTCAAAGTATGCACCCAGACAGTACGCCGCCCATCGACCTCCGCTGTACAGCTGTATTGTCTGTAATAACCTTATTATTATTATTGTACATCTTTTCCTTCCAATGATACATCATGGGAATGCCGAAATCCAAAAAGTTTGGAACAGAATCAGCGAACTTCTTTGTGTGGAGTCCGGTCAAACCCCAATGACAGCCATGTTTGTTTTTATTATTAGAGAACGTTTACGCGCGTAATCATTCAATATTTGGAATTCGCATTTCCATTTATGGTAGGACGAAAATACCCCGTAAACTACCGTAAAATTACGGCATGCTGAAACTTATGGCGTTACAGTGACAGATGTATAATAATATAAAAGATAACGCGTCATTTTATTTTATTTGTTTTTATTATTAGTCAGAATGTGTAACATACCTTTCCACAGACAGAGTGCCGCACCTATACATCGATGCACATTTTCGTAATGAGTATTATAATCTTCCATGATTTTTTTTTTGTATTTTGAAAGATGTTATTTAATTGTAGAAATTGTAATTTTTAATTTGAGAAAAAGTCGCTTTGTTTAATTTTAAGGACTGCACCATGTTCCGAAACTGGACTAAATTATCATAGAATGTACCCGGATGATAAGGTGTCATCTGTTGACACCTGACATTGTGTCACACGTGGTCTGGTCATTGAAGGCCGGTGAAGGTGTTAAATTCATCGCTGTACTTTTATTTAATTCATTGTTCACCATCCATGCGGGTAGATGTCTAAATATTGTCCGATTAGGTCATTCGTTGTGTGTCACCTTATATGATAACTTGTACTTGAATACTGAAATATACACAACTAATGTACATGGTCTGGATACGCACTTTGTCATGTTTTTAGTTCTTGGTCATTCTGGGCAATCCCAGAGTGAAAGTGTGTACGTATTCTATTCCATGTATCTGCCATCTCCCGAATAAACTTGCACTATACTACCTATCTACCATGAATATCGAATTTCAATTTTGACAATGGGTTGGAATTAAACCAATATATGAAACCATTATATAGTGGTTTTAATTATTAACGAAAAACAAAACATTTACACTTTTGACATTTATTTTTATTTGCGTTGCATCAATGAAATTATCGGAATCATAATATATAGAATGTAGAACATTCAACCTGATAATGAAACTTATGGCAAGTCTGCTATGAATATTTTTGTAAACCACAAAGACACAAACAGATCCTCAGGAAACAATGCATGTTAGGCTAACTTGTCGGACGTATAGAAAGTAAATCCCATTGATACACTCATTAACTAGAAAGCACTTCGATTGCTACTTATTATAAGAATCAATCCATCGTGATCATTTTTTGAGTTGAATGAAAAATCATTCCCAAAAGTATTGTTTCAATAGAAACCAGTTCACTACTAAAATTGAACCGATTGCTCTGTTTAAATTGCAAACTCTCCTGAAAATTTCATGAGCAACCATTAATGACTTTGAGTTAAATAATGACACATGTTTGTGAGGGCAATATCACGATTTATTGCCCGCACAAGGGATGGTGGCCATGACCATAATATTGATTATGCGAGAGGTGAAGGCGAGGGCATCATCAATATTATGGTCTCGACCAACATCCCGAGGACAGACAACAAATCGTGATATTGCCCGAATGTGTTAGTTATTTTATCACAACACATCACTCACACCCGCTCTCCCACTAAATAACAACACTTATAATTTATTTATAAGTATACAATATTTTATTTTATGTATTATAAGTTTCACATTACTCAATAGAACACATACATTTAATAAGCGTGTTTCAGCAGTGCGAATCACTAAATTTATATTGAGTATTACATTTTTGAAATGTATAAAGAATTTTTCAGATAAAAATGTCAGAGTACCGTCATCTCTGCGTTATAAATCTCAGCTATACATATTATATCTGAACTATACCAAAATATCCCAGCTATACCTAACATATCTCGGTTATACCTAATATATCTAGGCTATACCTAATATATCTCAGCTATACCTAATAAATCTCAACTATACCTAAAATATCTCAACAATACCTAAAATATCTCAGTTATAATTAATGTATCTCAGCTATACCTAATATATTTCAGCTATACTTAATATATCTCGGCTATACCTAATATATCTCGGCTATACCTAATATATCTCGGCTATACCTAATATATTTCAGCTATACCTAATATATCTCAGCTATACCTAATATATTTCAGCTATACCTAATATATCTCAGCTATACCTAATATATTTCAGCTATACTTAATATATCTCGGCTATATCTAATATATCTCGGCTATACCTAATATATCTCAGCTATACCTAATATATTTCAGCTATACCTAATATATCTCAGCTATACCTAATATATTTCAGCTATACCTAATAAATCTCTGCTATACCTAATAAATCTCTGCTATACCTAATAACTTTAAACTATACCTAAAATATCTCAGTTATAATTAATGCATCTCAGCTACACCTAATATATTTTAGCTATACTTAATATATCTCGAGTATGCTCAATGTATCTCAGCTATACATAATAAATCTCAGCTATACCTAATATATCTGTTATAATTAATGTATCTCAGCTATACCTAATATATCTTAGCTATACTTAATATATCTCTGCTATACCTAATATATTTCAGCTATACGTAATATACCTCAGCTTTACGTAATATATCTCAGCTATACGTAACATATCTTGTCTATACTCGATATATCTCAGCTATACGTAATATATCTCAGCTATACATAATAAATCTCAGCTATACCTAATATATCTGTTATAATTAATGTATCTCAGCTATACCTAATATATCTTAGCTATACTTAATATATCTCTGCTATACCTAATATATTTCAGCTATACGTAATATACCTCAGCTTTACGTAATATATCTCAGCTATACGTAACATATCTTGTCTATACTCGATATACTTCAGCTATACGTAATATATCTCAGCTATACGTAATATATCTCAGCTATACGTAATATATCTTGGATATACGTAATATATCTTGGCTATACTCAATATACCTCAGCTATACATATTATATCTCAGTTATACGTAATATATCTTGGCTATACTCAATATACCTCAGCTATACATATTATATCTCAACTATATTTAACAGATCTCAACTATACCTAAAATATCCCAGCTATGCCTAACATATCTCAGTTATACCTAATACATTTCAGCCATACTTAATATATCTTTGCTATACCTAATATATTTCAGCTATACTTAATATATTTCGGCTATACCTAATATATCCCGGCTATACCTAATATATCTCAGCTATACCTAATATAT